CCTACCTGGGGCTGAGTATGTCTGTGATTGGGGAAGGAACAGTCTCTCTTATTTGGTGACTGTATCATGTTTAAATCCAGTGAGGTCCTATCATTGGGGGGATCAAGAATAACAGCCCCCTTTGCAGAATACCATGACCATATGCCCGCTTACTTGGAATAATTACTTACATCAGAAAAGGGACTACATGTGCATTAATATATAACAAAGTTACATCACTAAAACAGCATTGGCTTACCCAACTAGCAGTCAGGCAGAACTGCTGCTGAGAGTCTGTGTTTTCAGACACCTACTCTGCTAGTATAAATTTCCAATATGAGCAGAAACCCAAAAATCATCCTCTCAAGGCAGATTCTGCCAAGATACTTTGCCATGGTACATGTATGCTGCCCTCAGCAAGAAACCTACTAAGCTTCACAAGAGAACAGAATTTACAGCTGAAGGTTTATACAGAGTGAGTGCGTGTGCCATTAAAACTGCTATCCATAGCATTTCTCTTCTTTACAAATAGTTTAAGAGGTATGACAACTGTCAGACCAATTATCACTTATAAAAGGAACTGAAGAACAATTATGAAAACACTATGGAAGATGATAGAAAAACTGGATCAAGCAGGAAATCTTACTGAATACTGAAAATCTCAAAGCAGAGATTTGCAGCTCAGAAGCACTAGGTTCGGGTGAACACGTCTTCAGGTAAAATCATATCCACCCAATCATATCCCCAAATACTGTACAGAGAAGGTCCTACATGTAAGATACCATCCACAAGAAAAAGAAGCAACAATTAGAGCAACTCACTGAAATCACACTTACACTGGGAATAAGCAGTAGGCTGGGAGAAAATTTGTTTAAAATAGAAGATAAAGTTGACCAACTAACTGGATATAAAATGGGCACAGATTAACATCAACCAGCAATTATACAGAGTTTTGTAATCATTATTGGCATGAAGGTCTGGATCAGCTCAGGAGTATGGGCAAAACGATTAACTGGGTTTAAGAGCAAAACCCTTTCATAAACTGATCAACAACAGGCAATCCTGCAACAGCAGGAGTGTGGCACTGGGGACAGAGGAGGTCCTCTCAAGGCCTCGGGAAGTCCAGGACTCAGAACCCTTTTGCACCTTCTGGATTTCCCATTGCTTTCACATAATTTTTCAGCTGACAATTTCACTGAGATACCAACCTTAAGGAGAAAACCTGAGACAAAAAGTTAAAGAAGAGAAGACCAAAAACCTGCTCAATGAGAAGGAGCTTGCTTGCAGTTGAATGCAGGCCAGTGTTTGATATGCTGACTAAAATCACAACACAGAAGATCTCCTAGCTAATACAAGCTGTCAGGGCCAGGGAAACTGAATCAGCTATCAATTAAGAGTCAGAAAATGAACTGTTAAAATGAACAATTGGAAGTAAACCTTTTTTTAAGATTACTTGGGCTGCACACACTATTCCGTCATATGGAAACACTAGTTAGAGAACTTGTGGTCGAAGGACATTGCCATTTTGCGCAATACGAGGGAATATCACCATGGCATTCACAACAACTACTAGGGGTGACCGGCTACGTCTGAAATTTTATGATCGTTCTGTTCACTGGAAACCAAAATCACAACATAAAGCACATGTGTCTACTGCCACCTTATAAGCCCATGACAGATTTGAGACCATCTTTGGCTACTGGCAGTGCGGAACCTGTGGCTTGACAACAGCATAGCAGATAGCTCATTGAAAAGAAAAGGTAAACTGAAATCTACAGTGCAAGCAGGGGCCAGGACACAAAGAGTATCTCTTCCGTCTGGAGAAACAACCAGACACTGTGGAAAGACATAGGTCACCAGGTTCAGGCAGCCAAGAAAAAAAGAAAAGAAGTTGGAGACAGAGGATTTGTGAACTGAGAAATCATCCCCAATCCTCAGAAACCCTGGAAAAACCTAGTCCAAAAAACATTTTGGGGAGAAAGGGAAAGTTCAGGAACAAATTCCTTGCTAAGGGAATTTAAAAGATTGTCGAGAAAAAATTCATTTCAAGGTAACTGCCGTTAGAGCGCTCTGCATTTCCTTAAAAGACTGTTTCTGATGTATTTCTCCCCACCCTTTAGGTCAGAGAGTAGCAATATACGCCCAGAATCCTGCACAAGCAGCTGGGCTCCCCATTTCCTGCGACAAGAGAGGCATGTATGAGTCTCAAAGGTCCCACTTTTGAAACTATTATATTTGAATTAAAAAGTATTAATAAATACACAAGTGTATACAAGGTACATACATTCTGAACATATTCATACAATCTCTGCTCCATTGCTGTTATAAAAACTAAAAATCATCCAAATCATTTTAATTCCCATACTCTATCCCTTTCTCAAAAAATGCATTTTAAGTGGATGAATGCAATATTTAAGATTGACCTTTAAAGTAAATTCATATGCACAGTGGAACCTCTCTAAACTAATTTTAATAACTCAGTATATTCTAAACATTTTAGTGAACCCCCAGTTTATGGTAAATCTGATGACACAGTGTCATTTCTTTCAGCTCACTGCTGCATATAAAATGCAATCCTGATTATCCTTGCTTGTTTAGTGAACCTGGCTCTATCCAATATGTATGCTATATTTCATCTTTGTTATTACAAGCACAGTCACTTCTACCTTAAAACATAATTTTTAAAAGGCTGATTACTGGTGTCATCTTGTGACAGAATATCAAACACCAACCAATACTGCCATTCTGTTTATTTCTGTAGGTTTTGAATACTTGACCTCATGATGCAAAATAAAACTACGTTATATGAATAACAAACCTGAGGCAGATCTTAGGTCTGCCACTGCCTTGTGCAACCCTGCCTTCACCTCTGTGGATTTAAGTCTACTCACTTAAAAAAAGGACAGGATGATACTTGCCTGCCACTGAAGTTACATTACTTCAGTAACAAAGTTTTAAAGTACTTTGGGATCAAAATAAGTACTATGTAGGTATTCTAAGCTAAGCCCAGGAAGGGAAACATCCATAGTATTGAAACTTTCAGCTCATCCTAAAACTTGCTATTAATCATGAACTTAAGATGGATATAAATTGATGCAAAATCTTTTAAATCACAGGTATAACATCATAAGAAAAGTTACATATCATGTAAAGTAATCCCTGGTTTAGATACCTCACATTCATTTTACCTGACTGACATTCAAGAATTTAACATCCATGCAGAATGTTTCAGTCTGCCCTACCTTACTTTACTTATCAAGTTTGTCAGATGCTAAATACCATCAGATACTGGAGTTCAACATGAGCCACAGAAATTCCATTACTCTGTACATCATTCTGCAGGGAAATCTCAATTCTACTACTCACAGAGCTCTCTTTTTCACTCAGCCAAGGTAAGTCAGGCGAAGAGAAATATATGTATTAAATAAGCACAAATATCAGCCAGGTCTACCATTGAATAGAGCTCAACATCTAAAATATGAGTAGTTAAAACTTAAGACAACTTTTGATATGGAAAACCAATACAGAAACAAGTACCAATTCTGAGAATGCTGCAGCCTCTATAGCTGTAGCCTTGAGTACATTTCTCAAGAGCTCCTTGCCTGGAAGGGATGAATAAGGGAGGCAAGTGGTGCTGAATGATTATTCTGTCTGTTTGCGAGAAAGAAAATCTGGCTTCCAAATGACAGCAGTTCAGAGACACTGGAGTACCAAGAGGTAGACAGTAGGAATTTATCTCTGTCAATTTAAGCCCAAGACAGAAAAATATGACAACCACAAAAATGCTTTATGAGGGCACTTGAACAAACACTTTGAAAGTCCATGGAGAATAATATGTGGTTTCAAATTTTTGTAGATTTCAGCAAAGTCATTTCTAGATCTTTAATCTTGTTAATGGACTGGCCATACACATTTTGAAAAAGTTTCAGTCTGCAGTAGAAAAAAAAGACTCAGAAGGAAAACTTATATAGCTGCTAAGCATCTACAGGTGGAAAATATTATAATCTTGCCTCCTTCATTTAAAGGCATTCTGCTGTGATTACAATATTAGTTCTTGTCACCAGAGAATAATCTCTCTGTTAAAAGTTCAAGAGATGAGATATAGTTTATAAAATCTGAAATATGAGTGTACACAGTGCCCAATAAAGACATTAGATCCTCTTCAGTTGAATGCATTGATTTAGAGACGTACAAAAGTAAACCAACTTTTAAAAGTCTGATAAGTACAATAATCTGAAAGATTTTTTTATAAGTGTTTCACAGACTCAAAAATACATGCTGATTTGACCTTTGCATAACAATGTCAAGAGGAATGGCGTTCTGATGTCCTGATCGAGTTGACGTGGAAAAAGTACTACCGAATTGGCTCCGGGATATGTGTGTGTGTGTGCGCGTGCGTGCGCGTGCTCAGGCGGGTGAGGGCAGTAACCCATTAGTCGGGCGGGAAGTACAAGTTTCCCTGTGTCTCAGAGGGACCCGGGAGAGCGAGTGGGGCAGCTGCCCCGGTTGGGCCAGGCCAAGGGGGTCCCGGGCGGGTGCGGCCCCGCTGCTGCGGCGGAGGGAGGGAGGAGCCCG